CACCTCAAGCACAAAGACAGGCACCTACTCAGAGTAAAGGGCTGGGAAAAGGCTTATCAAGCAAATGGACCTAAGAAACAATCAGGTGTGGCCATACTAATTTCTAACAAAGTTGACTTCAAACTTAAATCAATCAGAAGAGATGGAGAGGGACATTTTATACTCAGGAACAATTCATCAGGATGAAGTCTCAATCCTGAATATCTACGCCCCTAATATAAAAGCGCCCACGTACGTAAAAGAAACATTACTAAAACTCAAGGCAGACATCAAACCACATACACTAATAGTAGGAGACTTCAACACACCTCTCTCACCAAGGGACAGGTCAATCAGACAGAAACCTAACAGAGAAATTAGAGAATTAATGGAGGTAATGAAGCAAATGAACTTAACAGATATCTATAGATTAATCCACCCAAATAGGAGAGAATATACCTTCTTCTCTGCAGCTCATGGAACCTTCTCGAAAATTGACCACATAGTCGGTAGCAAAGCTAACTTACACAGTTACAAAAAAATATTAGTAACCACTTGTGTCTTATCAGATCACCATGGATTAAAGTTAGAATTCAACAACAATGCTACCCCCAGAAAGCCTACAAACTCATGGAAACTGAACAGTCAACTACTGAACCATACCTGGATTAAGGAAGAAATAAAGAAAGAAATTAAAGTCTTCCTTGAATTCAATGAAAATAAAGAAACAACATACTCGAACTTATGGGACACTATGAAAGCAGTGCTAAGAGGAAAGTTCATAGCACTAAGTGCCCACTTAAAGAAAACAGAGAAAGCACATATTGGAGACTTAACAGCCCACCTGAAAGCTCTAGAAAAAAAGAAGCAGACTCACCTAGGAGGAGTAGAAGACTGGAAATAATCAAACTGAGGGCTGAAATCAACAAAATAGAAACACAGAAAGCAATCCAAAGAATCAATGAAACAAAAAGCTGGTTCCTGGAGAAAATCAACAAGGTTGATAAACCCCTATCCAAACTAATCAAACGGCAGAGAGAGAATACGCAAATTAATAAGATCAGAAATGAAAAGGGGGATATAACCACAGACACAGAGGAAATTCAGAGAATCATTAGATCTTATTACAAAAGCCTGTATAACACAAAACTGGAAAATGTAAAAGAAATGGACACTTTTTTAGATAAATACCATATACCAAAGTTACACCAGGACCAGGTGAACAATCTAAACAGACCTGTTGGTTGCGAAGAATTAGAAGCTGTTATCAAAAACCTCCCTACCAAAAAAAGCCCAGGACCAGATGGTTTCAATGCGGAATTCTACCAGAACTTCAAAGAAGAGCTAATACCTATACTCCTTAATGTATTCCACAATATAGAAATAGAAGGGTCATTACCTAATTCCTTTTATGAAGCTACAGTTACTCTGATACCAAAACCACACAAAGACTCAACCAGGAAAGAGAATTACAGGCCAATCTCACTCATGAACATTGACGCAAAAATCCTCAACAAAATACTGGCAAACTGAATCCAAGAACACATCCAAAAAATTATCCATTATGATCAAGTAGGCTTCATCCCAGAGATGCAGGGCTGGTTCAACATACGAAAATCTATCAATGTAATCCATCATATAAATAAACTGAAAGAAAAAAACCATATGATCATTTCATTAGATGCAGAAAAAGCATTCGACAAAATTCAACATCCATTTATGTTAAAAGTCTTAGAGAGATTAGGGATACAAGGGTCATACCTTAATATAATAAAAGCTATATACAGCAAACCGACAGCTAACATCAAATTAAACGGAGAGAAACTCAAAGCCATCCTGCTTAACTCAGGAACATGACAAGGCTGTACACTCTCGCCATACCTCTTCAATATAGTGTTTGAAGTTCTAGCAATAGCAATAAGACAACATAAGGGGATCAAGGGGATGTTCACCTTCCTAGATATGGACGGAGGGGGGAGGACCTAGGACTTACCACAGGGCAGAAAACCCTGACTGCTCTTTGGACTGGAGAGGGAGGGGGAAAGGAGTGGGGGGAGGAGGAGAAGGGTGGGAGAAGGGGGAGAAGGGTGGGAGGAGGGGGAGGGAAATGGGAGGCTGGGAGGAGGTGGAAACTTTTTTTTTCTCCGTTTCTCAATAAAAAAAAAAGAAAAATAAATGAATACATCCTGGCATGTTAAAAAAAATCACTAAATATGTCTGTATTAGTTTTCATTTTTATTGATGTGAAGAGACAACATGACCACGATAACCTGTATAAAGAAAATATTTAATAAATTTTGCTCATTTCGAGTTCAGAGTTCAGTGAATTTTCATCATGGTGGGGGCATGATGATGAGGTGTTGGTTACAACGTGGAATGCAGACCACAGGAAGTTGACTGACATGCTTGGCAGTATCCAGAAAATATTAAGTTTCCAAACCCATCCACATTGACACATTTGTTTCAACAAGACCATACCCAATTAAAAAAACCCACACCTCCTAATAGTACCACAACCCTATGAGAATATAGGGGCCAATTACATTCAATGCCACAACCAGGTTCTTTGTCATACTGCTGACTCCAGCAGCTGATTTCCTATCATTTCCCCCTGCAGTTTACTCAATAAACTATTCTTTCTACTCTGGTCTGAAGGCAGAAACCATGTTCTACATGCAAATCCTTCTCCTGCGACTGTAATGGATAGTCGACTACATGACTCACGTGGGTAATTTTAAAAGTCTGAGGTTAGCCGGGCGGTGGTGGCGCATGCTGGGATTTAATCGGGAGGCAGAGGCAGGCGGATCTCTATGAGTTTGAGACCAGCCTGTCGAGAGAGCTAGTTCCAGGATAGGCTCTAAAGCCATAGAGAATCCCTGTCTCGAAAAAAACAAAAACAAAACAAAACAAAACAAAAAAGTCTGAGGTTGCAGTCATTTAATTTAAGAATTTTGGAGATGTAATCAAAAGGATAGCAAGGACATTGACCAGAAAGCAACACACTGGCATAAAGGTCACCTATGTCAATATAGGAGAGCTTGTCTCAGAAATATTTTTCTAAAAGGCTAGAAGTGCAGCTGTTCTAGAATAGTCTTTCCAGGGAGAAATCATTCCATTCACTTGAGAGATTAATAAAGAAAAAGCTTTGCAATGATAGCATGCACCCATCTCTAGTAAATGCTCAAAGAGGAGACGAGAACAAACACTGCATTCCACATGTGCCGCCATTCTTAACTTTCTCTTAGGTTCAGACTCTTGCTTACACTCAGAAGAATTTAAATAGTGACAGGAAACTGTCTAGCCAGTCAGGCAAATGAGAGACTCAAGGTTAGTAGTGGAGTGGGAACAAATGCAAGAATGCCATTTACAGCCGGGCAGGGATGGCGCACGCCTTTAATCCCAGCCCTCGGGAGGCAGAGACAGGCGGATCTCTGTGACTTAAGCAAAGATATTACCATAATTATTATTACATAAGTATACCAGAGACCTGAAAGAGCAGGTCATACTTTAATGATAGGGTCTGAGGTGGAGGTGCCAGAAGGTGAGAAAAATAGAAAAAGTAGAAGAAAGAAAAGATAAAAGCTGAGGCAGAGGAGTCTTGCATATGATGTGTCTTATTCCAAGTAAGCTTCTTAAAAGTAATAGCTTCTTGTATACTACTTCCAGAGGAAAATGGAAGCCAGCAGAAATTACCATACAATGGGACAAACTCAGGAGACAGTTAATCAAATACCACAGCACAAAGGGATCACAGGATATCTCTAGAATATTGTGGACTAAGCACTCAGTGGCCTTGGGACTGATAACTGTAGCCCTGCTTGATGTGAAGAGTACTGTTCTCAGGATCTGAAGACCCTGCTCACAAGGACACAGGCTCCAGACCATACCACCTCTCCCTAGCACATTCTTGCTTCCAATATAGGAGCTCTGTCTTATTCTGCATAGCTCAGGAACTTCGGAGAAACTACTAACGCCTAGACACTAGGCTGTTCCTGGCTCTGCCAAAAAGTCCCTGGGTTTGAGAAGCGGTTGTGTTCCATCTCCATGAGGGAGAACTTAAATGAAAAGTGTTGCTTGATCAGCCCAGTCCTCTGTACAAGTGTTTTCCTTTTCAAACAGCTGAAATCATGTGCATTGGGCAGAACATTAATTTTCCCTAAAAGAAAACTGGGTATTTATGGCAAACCAGGCCCACGAGTTAATTGTGACCCTCTAATGTCCCCTTGAACAGCTTGTGAGAGGCATGTTGTTTGATATGGGAATAGGCCACGTGGCTGTAAATCAGAGTGTCTACTGCGTCCTGGATTACAGCCAAATGTTTGGACAATCCTGGAGAACAAATACTTCTCCTAGCATCCTAATCTCTAACAGGCCTAGGTAGCATACGACTTATCTTTGGGTAATTTAGAGGCAGCTCTCACTCAGCTAAATATCTCCTAAGCATTGGTGAAGCCTTTATATCAAATTTCTACTCTTCTGCATTAAGGTTAGTAGTGGAGTGGGAACAAACACAAGAATGCCATTTACAGCCGAGCAGTGGTGGTACACGCCTTTAATCCCAGCACTCGGGAGGCAGAGAAAGGTGAATCTCTGTGAGTTCGAGGCCAGCCTGGTCTACAAGAGCTAGTTCCAGGACAGGAACCAAAAAGCTACGGAGAAACCCTGTCTCGAAAAAAAAAAATGCCATTTACAAACTCCACAAAATTAACTCCAAATGGATCTTACTACTAAGTGTTAAACACAAAACGCCGAACTTCTGGGAGAACCTAGAAAAACTCTCCAACACCTTGGCTTCCATATGCATCAAAATCACGTTGATATTGACTACAAAGAAGTTTCTACACACAACTCCCTCGTCGAAATGTTTTTACAGATACAGCCCACAGAGGAATTTTTTCACGACCAGAAACTGTGCCTGGGGAGTTGCGAGTACCACATGGGACCTAAGAGAACCCTGACTGTGGCCTTAAGCTCCCACCCAAGCTCCGCAAAAACCTGCAACACAGTCCCACATAGCTCACCTTCCTCTCCTCTCCATATCGGAACAGCAGCCCCTTACTCACCACGTCGTGGCTTCCGTGTTCACCCATGGTCTCCTCACAGTTCCCAGCTGTTGCACTCACAAAACAGTGCGCAATCCACTGAGGCGTGGTCCGCTTTAAAATCAAACCTGTAATACGGCGCCAGGACGTCCCACCTGACTTTTGACTGACAGGTCAGTTTGGAGGCTGTGATTGGCTAGTGAGACTTGAGTGACAAGAACAAATATCTCAGCGTCACTGTGTTCTTAAAGGCACAGCGCAGCAGTCCTTGGTTCTGGCCTCCATGCTAAAACCAGAATTTATGGATAGGCACATGGACTTCTTCCTCTTGGACACAATGTGCCCGGCTTGCACAGCCCATTACACACTATGGAGTGGAGTGATTCTCCTGTTCAACAGATGGAAGGATGCCCTGAATATTACAAAATTACACATTTAGAATACAAAAGTTGAAGTTTGTTCCGTGGCTTCAGGCTGACATCAGAACTAAGGATAATTTTTATCTGGTTGTCACAGATCCTTCTGACAACCATGAGAGCAATTCAGGAACTACATCAACAACAACATACTATATTTTTCTCCTGAAAGAAAACTAGTTGAAGGCCGGGCGGTGGTGGCGCACGCCTTTAATCCCAGCACTCGGGAGGCAGAGGCAGGCGGATCTCTGTGAGTTCGAGACCAGCCTGGTCTACAAGAGCTAGTTCCAGGACAGGCTCCAAAACCACAGAGAAACCCTTTCTCAAAAAAAACCAAAAAAAAAAAAAAAAAAAACCTAGTTGATACATCCAGGATTTTAATTCCTGAATTTGAGGTCCAAATCTTGAGAAAAGAATAATAATAAGTGTTGTCTCATGGCAGTTGAACACCTGGAGAGAACAGGGCTAGAAGAATGCCTTAATGGGCAGTATCATGAGTCAGCACATCTTCCTCAGTGAGCAGGTGAAAAAAATCCTTGCATTATTCAGGGTTCTTTACTTGAACAGGACTGGTAGAATGAAATTCTTCATATATGTAGAAGGTGGATTTATCAGAATGTCTCACGGGTTGTGGTCCAGCTATTCCAACAATGGCTACCTACTAATTGAAAGCTGAATGAAAATCCATGAACTAGATGACTCAGCAGATTTGCAGTATACATGAGAATTCCAACGATGAAGGCTCTAAATCTATTAAAAGAATAAACTTCCTAGCCAGATATGGAACCAGCAGGTAGAGGAAGAGAGAGAGAGAAAGAGAGAGAGGGAGAGAGAGAGAGAGAGAGAGAGAGAGAGAGAGGCTGAATTATGGCAGACAAATAGAGACAGTGCTTTTTTCCTTCAATATCCCTATTAAGTAAACTGCCACCAGAAGGGGGGATCCAGATAATAAGTGTATATTTTTGTTTGATTGATTTTCTTGATTTTTTTGAGACATTGTTTATCTCTGTTGGCCTGGATCACATTCTCTAGACCAGGTTGGTCACAAACTCAGAAAATCCAACGACTTCATTTTCCCAAGTGCTGGGATTAAAGATCCTCACCACCAAGAATTGGTGAAGGTGGATGCTTTCACCTCAAAAGATTCTGATTAAAGGTGAGTTTTCCCATTTCAAAACCTTAAATAAGAAAAACCCCTATAGGTGTGCCCAACTTTTTGAGTTTTAATTAATTCCAGAGGTAGACAGATTGACTACCTAGAACAGATTTCACAGCAGCCAAAACTGAAGAAATGAGACAGCTTACTTACCTCAGGTGACAAGGAGAACATGGGTATTACTTCCAAAGCAAAGCTGTTCCTAAAGAAGGAAAGCATGGAGGAGATTTTACTTATAGAATCTGGACATGTTCCTGTGGAATTCTGCCTAATTCCTAAGCATAGTCAGTCAACAAATCCACTTCTAAATATGATCAACATGATCACAATGTAAAAAGAGAGATATTTAGGGGCATTCTTATCTAAAACTCATGCAGGAACCTTTGTAAATTTTTAAAAAATGAAAAGAAATTTCCTGGCAAGTTTATCTTACACTAAAACTTCTTAGTTGAGCATCAAATAAAAGAGACTGTGAAGCAGAATGCTTGGAGCCTTTTTGTTATTTTTGTTAACATAATTGTGATGTTAGATCTAAAAGTTAAATGTGGCAATAACACAATTCTCCATATCCAAATGACAGAGAACACAAACACAGATAACATCAAGGAAGAGTCACCTATCAGTAATCTGTTATTAGAGGAACGGCTCTAGTTATCGTCTTTAACCTGAGCACCAGCTGCTTTAGTCTCTGTGCAGGCTGGCTCAGAAGAAGGCCACAGCTGCTTCCATGGAAGACCAGAATTAGTTTATTTAACTAACCCTGCCTGTTTCTTGTCTCAGGGTTGTGGCATTACTCTAGAGAATTTGACTCTTTACTTTTTCTAAACTATAAATTATAGTTATATATGTATTGTTTTCATGTGTATGTGCACAGTAATTACAGAGCCCATAAGAAGGGACAATAATCCAGAGACTACAGTTATGCCAAGTCTTACCTACCATGTGCTATTATGCTCTCTTTGAATTATTTGAATGCTCAGAAAAGAGCAACAGCTGCTAAAAGATATTTGTTTATAAATGCTGCTGAACTAATCCAACATAGATATTTTGAAAATTCCTTGACTTTGAAATTTGGATCTAAGGACATGATGCTTTGGAAAGGAGTTTCTTATTTTGTTTTCACAGAGGGTGAGAGTCTGTGGATTGCTTCTATCCCAATATGGTATAATGGACCACACCTCCTGAAGGGTTGCTGTGAACACCTTCAGAAAATTGATTCACTCAACTGCCAACTGAGATGAAACTAGCACACAAGTAATACCATGAAAGACCTAATTAACGATGCCCCCATTCAGCAGGAAGCAGTTTGGAGAGAAAAGACTGCGCCCATGTTCCCAAATATTGTTTATAAATGTTCTTTTACATTTAAAGGGGGATATGATATAGATATGAAAAATTTGCATTGGTATGGATTTTAAGGTCAATTTTGTTATATATATATATATATATATATATATATATATATATATGTATGTATGTATTTCTGCTCTTGATTAAGGTATTGTGATTGTGTAGTTTATGTAAAAATGTAAAGTATATAGGTTGTTAATAGATAATCATAATAGTCAAGTTTGTAGTCATGTTAGTTAAGATTTTCTAGATGTACATAAATATATTTTAGATAGGCATTCTTTATATCTTTCAAAGATTATAGAATATGGCATTTTAAATGTTTTAATAACTTAGGACTTTTCATGACAATGAGACACTCTCTTCCTGGCAGCACCAATCTACTTCAAGAAGAAGATGGGCATCAAAGAGGATCCTTATGGAGTTTGATAGCCATTTGGGCAAGAAATTGTTCTTGCCTGGACTATTGCATAAACTGGACACAGAGAACCTGCAGAGAGAGGACTACTGAACTTGCCTAAAGGTGAGATGATCTTTCAGGGTTCCTGATTCATGAAAAAGTCTGCGGGACGTTCTGCAGGACACAACAGATAGTGACTGAACTGACTTTGAAATTTCCTGCTTCATGGAAATGTCTATGGATACTATGGGCCTGTCAGCCAAAGATGGATGCCCTAATGGTACTGAGAAACTTTGGGTGACTGTCCAGGCAGCAAGATGTCTCTGTCATTTCTAGCATTTGAAAGTTGCTTATTTCTTGTTTGCTTAGGTAATATTGTATCTTTCTGAAGTCTTTGATGGAGTTGAAGAATAGTTAGTTATAGTTATAGTTTTCCTTAGTTATGATAAAGATTATTGTAAGTTTTACTTGATAACTGTTTTGTTATATGTAATTTTGCTATGTTAAAGTTAAAGCCTTTCCTTTTTGTTTAAACAGAAAAAGGGGAAATGATGGAGGAAGGTCATTGGTTAAGTAATAAAGAAACTGCTTGCCCTCATAGGTTAAAACATAGGTGGGTGGAGTAAACAGAACAGAATGCTGGGAGGAAGAGGAAGTGAGCTCAGAGAGGCCATGCTCCCCTCTCCCGGGCAGACGCATGTGATGAAGCCGCCAGGTCAGACATGCTGAATCTTTCCTGGTAAGACCGGTGCTACACAGTTTATTAGAAATGGGTTGATCGGGATATCAGAATTAGCCAGTAAGGGCTAGAGCTAATGGGCCAAGCACTGTTTAAATGAATACAGTTTCCATGTAATTATTTCAGGTAAAGCTAGCCGTGTGGGCGGCCGGGTGCCAGGAACGCAACCCCACCGCTCATATTACAACAGTAGTTTTATGGCTTACGGGCTGACAATACTGTATTTGATAAACAATTAGGAATTCTTTTCCCTACTGGTGGCTGATAGAGGTAGGTAATTGGTTAATTAATAAAGAAACTGCTTGGCCCTGATAGGTTAGAACATAGGTGGGTGGAGTAAACAGAACAGAATGCTGGGAGGAAGAGGAAATGAGGTAAGATGCCTCAGACAGACAACAAAGCTCTGCTCTCTGAGGCAGATGCAATGAAGCTCCAACCCAGGATGGACGTAGACTAGAATCTTCCTGGTAAGCACACCTCGTGGTGCTACACACATTAATAGAAATGGGCCAAGCAGTGTTTAAAAGAATACAGTTTTCGTGTAATTATTTCTGGGCATAAGCTAGCCAGGCGGCCGGGAGCCGGGTGGCAGGAACGCAGCCCACAGCTCCCGGTACAGGTGACTTATTTACATGGATGGCTGTTAAGCTGTTTTAAATCAGTATCAGGGATCTGACTGTGATTAGGTTGTCTTGGACAGGAAACAATGAAGAAGAGAAAACTTCGGGTAAAAAATACGTTAGTAGTTAAGTGGACTGAAGATTCTTCCAGAGTAACCAGGTGTCATTTCCAGTACATATTGAAGCTCAGTACTTTCTGTATCTCCAGTATCAGGTGTTCTAACACCGTCTCCTGGCCTCTTAGACACCATACATGAATGGGACAAAAAGACATGCATACTGGAAAAACTCCAATACATATGAAATAATGATTACAATTAGTTTGTAAAAGTAACCACAACAAATACATAAGACAAATGATATATAC